AAAAAGATATGGGCTTAAAGCCGATCCCTGATGTAATCCAACAGAAATAGGAAAATATTTGGCCAATATTCCTTCAATTCAAACACAAGTAACAACTCTAGTATACATATCTTTAATGCTTGAATATAAATCATATCGACACCTTTGTTCTCAAGAACTCTCCGAAGGATACCTCTTGGAACCTTATCGTAAGCTTTTTCTAAATCAATAAAAATCAAATATAGATTCTCCTTATTATCTTTAAACTTCTCCATCAAACCTCTCAATAAATGTATAGCTTCCATAGTAGATATGCCCGACATAAATCCAAATTGATTATGAGAAATCTTTATAATACGTCTTAACCTATGTTCAATTATCCTCTCCCATAACTTTAAAATATGACACATCAACTTAATTCCTCTATAATTTGCACACTCTTGTACATCCCTTTTATTCTTAGAAATGGGGACCAAAATACTCTTCCTCCACTCCTTAGGCGTTTTTTTAGTTTTTGAAATAATATTAAAGAGTTTAGTAAGCCAAAAAACTCTCAAATCTTCTAAATATTTCCACACTTCAATTGGGATATCATCTGGTCCTACAGACTTTCCACTATTGGTTTCCTTTAAAGCTTCATCAACTTCTTTTTTACTAATGCGACGATAAAAATGAAACATTTTATTATTATTCACGATATTAAGATCACTATGGTCGGTCGAATTTTCAGAAACTTCATTAAAAAATTTATCAAAATAACTCAACCACCTATGTTGAATGTCTTTTTTTTTAAAAAAAACACTTTTTGTTATTCATCTTTTATACACTTTACTTGAGTTAAATATTTACTTTTTTTTTCTTTGTTTGGCTAGTTTATACATATATTTTTCACTTTCCTTAGTATCTAATATATTATAAAGCTCATTAAAAGCAGAATTTTTAGCGTCACAGATTGTTCTTTTAGATTCCATGCGGGTCATTTGATATTTTTCCCAGTTCTTTAAGCTTGTACATCAGAACTTTTAAATTTTAAATCTCAATGGTTATATTAACTTAAAGTTGAGGCTTCAAAATTAAGAGCTAGGCTAGCAATAAATACAAAATTTGGAATTCTCAAATATATACTCTTAAGTTTGAATCATTTGAATTAGCCCAAATATTAAGTATTGGTGCTTTCAACGATAAACTAATACATTTGGGTGGCTTAACTCAATTTAAAGTTGAAGTTCCAAAATTCATAAGGCTATGCTTAAACTGAAATTAAAATTCTCCGAATCAATCAACTAAGTTTGATTTTAAAAAAAAACCCTCCATTGGATTCGCAACATATCTGCTAGCGAACAGAAGATGGTTTTTTTTTTAAAAGCCTAAAATCATTTTTGAAATATTTTAAGCTCCAAATGACTTCAAATTTTGTAAAAATCTCATGGTTATTCCCACAAGTCAAATGCAATACTGTGAATTGTGAGACCATCCTTAAGACTTAGAAAAGTTCTACTTGTGATCGTTTGTAAAGTTCATATTAAGTTCTTGACTTAAAATTCATGCAAGTTGTTAAAGCTTATAAAAAGATTTTCAAATATGTGAAATTTAAAAGCCCGCATGTGCTCCAATTAAACATATTGAATGTTCAAATATTAGGTTCGAGAATGTCACGCGGGCTAATGGGGTCGCCTTGTCTGCAAGATAGGGTTGCAAGTTCAACTTAACTTGTCTGATCCTTCTCATTGCAAGGACCAGAGTTAACGAGTCTAGTAATTTCACAATAAACATCCAAATCATAGAATACAAAATTGCAAGTCTAAATCATCTATTCTAATCCTCCTCTTTTTAAGTACTGGAGTCAATAAGACTCCATCTTAAAAGTCTAAATTGACAAAATTAAACCCCCTTTCAAATATAAATACTTTAAAATGTTTAAATCCTCCGATGATGGTCGTGTTGATCCGTAAAATCAAGTTTTTCAAAATAACCAACTAATATTCAAGCTAAAATTAAATCACTTAAAAGACTAAACCTAATCTCATCCACCATCCACATCAATTTGTCGAGGGTGACAAACTTCTAATTGACTTCAGCTTACAGAGAGCGAAAGTCATTAAATGTATAAATATATTGAAAAATCAAAGTAATTCTATGCCAGTAAAGATGTGGCTCAAGTCTTCTGTCTGCGTGGTTCTGCCTCCAAATCACACCACAAAGTAGCATTTACGACCAGAGCCCTCTGACAGGGTGGTTGTCGCAAAATGACATAATTATATTATGATCACGACTGCATCTCGTATGTTCCCCAACCACTTTTTACCCTTGAGTTGTGAATCATAAAAATACAATTAATTGACACAAAACTTTCTGCTAGCCAAGTTCGACTTAAATTTGTACCCTTAGACAAATTTTCATCTCAGATCTAAAAAGATCTTTTGGACGACGCAATTAATGGCTGCTGACAAGAATCCTTCTGTCAGGTTGGGTCGACTACCTCCTCTGACTAAGTAGATCAGGAACTGTGATGGCCCGAGATGATGGAACCATGTGATCTTGATCGAGTTTCGTCTTCATTCCCTCACCATCCGCTTTGAGCTTCAACTGGTGAATTCTACATTTTAAATCATAAGTTTGTTGTTATTATATGTTCAATTTTCAATCGTTAATGACTAGTCTTAATCGAAAGTGCTCTCTCGTTATTGGGAAGGGCAATTAACAATATGGGCTGACATATATGAGAAACCTCAAACTCCATATTAAAAAGTCCTCGCTAATGATGGCGAAATATTTGGACAACGTCTTATCTACAATTCAATCTGTCCTCTGAAAATTTGAGCCGCCAAAACTCTCTCTCAAAACAACATAAAAAAATAAATGCAGAGTGTCTTGAGGAGCAGTTGTTGAATTTTCGGAGCCCACAGTAAACAATCGTGGTTGTGTTTGACTACAGTTCCTACATAGCTCTTTGGTGCTTTAAGCCTATGCATGAAACTGTGTAGTTCGCTTTTAAAAAGTTATAATAATGCTATTTTTTATGCGATATTAAAGATTTGAGTGCTATATGTGTAAACATGAAAGCTTTGGGGTGAGATATGTAAATACATAAGAATTGTGTGCTATTTATATAAATGCCCCAATTATTTTTTGGCATCATAAGCTTAATTCCCCTTTTAATTCATAAAACACAGCACTGTTTTAAATATTATTTATGAAGTACTTACCCAACTATTTGCCTCCTCTTTATTTTAAGGAAAAATTATTAACCCTATTATTCCCTTAATTTTTTTGTATCCTGATACCTCTAGAGCTCTTGTTTATAGATGCGGTAAAAGCAGTACCCTACTGATTCTTTTCGTTTGCAGCAGTTTTGTCTCACTTTTTTAATGAATTTCAATACTTCCTTTTCTTTGTTCAAACAAAATGCATGATTAAGTTTTTGATAGTGCGGTAAGTATAATATTAAAAGGATGAACTAGTCTAAGCATTCAACACCCCCCTCTCTCCCTCTCTAACTAAATTTTGCTGGAAAATAATACGGAGATAGTAATGTGTACCTTGATAGAATTCATATAGGGTCTACGAGATATCGCTGGTGATAACAAAACTATAGAACTGAAGCGCCAAAGTGTTAATCATGAATAGATGGGCCGAAGTGTTAAAATGCTAATTCTATAATGTCTAAATTGTCTCTTACCATATTTACAGCAATTTAAAGTTTAGAAAGTGGTAATAAAACAACAATTGACTAAAATAATATGTTTTTGAAATTCTTCATCATAATCTATTTCATGCTTCATCATCAAGAGATAAATTTGAAATAATCCATCTTTATTTTTCCTAAAGAAAAGTGTATAGTTCTATGTATTTTCCTTCCTCTTTACGTTTTGCTGTTGAACTGCAGTTTGTCTGAAGAGTTTTACCTTTTGCAGTAACCTCGTTTTTTGATTACTGAATCCGGATGTCTCAATATTTATAACTCAGCATAGTTTTTGGTTACTGAGGAAAAAATTACCAGTAAAAGATAAAAATGAAAATTATAAAAAAAAGGAGGGGTGTTTTTTTGTAAGTTTTTGTATGGCTGTTATGTCAAAAAAATGTAATTTAAAAATGAATGAGAATTTGGGATTATTTTTGCTGCTTTATAATAAAAAATATCGCTGCTCTTATTTTTTAATCCATCCAGAGCCTTGCTCTCACTTTCTAGAGCTGAATTAAAAAAGCTTGTCGTGGAGGGGAAGATAGAAAGGACAGATGGAAGAACAAAGTACAAATGCTGCTGGTCTCATATTGCTTTTCTCATCCAGTAAGCTAAAATAATATTTTGGAGGGTTTTTAGTTAGCACTTAACATTTACGTTCTGTTTGAAACAATTTTAAGCCTGCGTTGCATTTTAGACTGCCACCACAGTTATGTTTCAAAAAAAAAAATTTTTTTTATTTTTTTTTTGCTGTTTAATACAATTTTTTTGTGCTGGGAAAATATTTTTTGCTACCAAATCTGCTGAAATTTGGTGGATGTAAGAAAATTGTTATCGGGCAACTTAAAAAAAATAAATATTTTTGGTTCTCTTCAAATAATTGTTTCCCTACCACAACTTTACAACCGCCTTTACAAAATATTGCATTCGCCTCGAGCGAACCGTTTAACTTCTATATTAGCTGAATTTGATCATTCCAACTTGTGCGAATATTCAAAGTTTTTCAATCATGGAAGCCTAATGTTTATTTTGTTATCCAGGACAGCTTAAATCTACTCTTTATTCCACACCTTGCATCTTTTTATGAAAATAGAACCTAATGTTATTGGTGCTTGATTATCTTTTATTAGTGATTCTAATAGTAAATTTTATACATCAAACATTTGTCTGTCATTCATTTTGACATTCTTTTGACTTTTGAAGCATTTTGTTTTCTCTTGTATGAATGCATAATTTTTCATATTTTCATTTGAATTATCTTTTGTTTCAGTTAGCCTTTTTTACAAGAATTTTGATTCAGAAATGGAAGTGACACAAGATGGGCAACTGGTATTTGCAGGCGGCTGAAACCTGGGGGCGGAGGGGTTAATGCAGCCATTTTTAACGCTGGAGGTGAAGCCTTAGAAATTGCCACCAAGGAACAGGCTGACACCATTAGTCCTGGAGGCTCCGTTATTGTTCCTCTTCCTAGAACTTCTCCCCTCTACCAAAGGGAAGGTGTGACTCATGTCATACATGTTTTGGGACCAAACATGAATCCTCAAAGACCAAACTGCCTTAAGGATGACTATGAAAAGGGCTGTAAGGTTCTTTATGAGGCATACACCTCACTTTTCAATAAATTTGCATCTATTGCACTTCGCCAAAATTATCAAAAAGAATATTGCGGAGATTCTAAGTGCGAACCTTCCAGTTCATTTGGGAATTTTTTTGGGTCAGTGGTTGAACGTCAGCCTTCCCTTAGTGAGCCAATGAGCAAGCGAGAAGTTAGCCACGATTATGATAGCAACAAAAAATGTATGTATGTTCCATCTTAGGGCTTATTTGGTATTAATTTTATGTTTTTTTTTTTCCTTTTGTTTTAAAAAATATGTTTGTCTAGCGTGTTTTTTCTATATTTTTATTTTTTATGTTAAAAACAAATTAACTTATTTTTTAAAACACTCAAAATAACTTACAGATCTTGAGTTTTATTAAAAACAACCACACTTTAATCAAATAGCCATACATCAAAACTTAAATAAAAAAATTAAAAATAAAATATAAGACTTGCTTTCTCCAGAATGGAAAACAAAGTAACAAAGTAACTCTACAACTCTAAACTAAATTTCTATTTCAGCAAAAGCTAATGGTGGCGACTTTGGAAGCTTATCTCAAGGCTTTGTTGTTCTGGAGAAAGAGAAGCAGAACAGTGAGGGAACTGATCGCTCTGCGAAGATATCTTGGGGTTCATGGGCTCATGCTCTTCACCAGATTGCAATGCATCCTGAGAAGCATAGTCGTGATGTTATCGAGATATCGGATGATTTCGTTGTAATAAATGATCTTTATCCCAAGGTTGGTATATGCTATAAAAGTTTTAGGAAATTTACGTATGTGGCACACATTTCTTTTGTATTTACATATCTAATGCCTAAACTTTCATATTGACATACATAGCACTTTGGTGTTTTAAAAATATGCATGAAAATGTGTATTTCACTTTAAACAAAATAGTGATCGTGCTAGTGTTATGTGTGTAAATATGAAATTTTATGTGTGAGATATGTAAATACATAAGCATTTTGTGCTATGGAAATGCCTCAAATTTTTCTAGTGAACTGTACCTTATTTACTCTTACAACTCTACCCCCATGTTCCACAAAGCAGGCAACGAAGCACATTCTGGTGACATCGAGGCTTCCTGGTCTTGACTGCCTTGCTGATATTCGTAGAGAACATCTTCCAATGTTGCAAAAAATGCATGCCGCTGGTCTCAAATGGGCTGAGAAATTCAGTAGTGATGATCCTTCTCTAGTATTTCGACTCGGTTATCATTCGGTATGTGTATGCTTTTCATGAGAACAAAGTGACCTAGTTTAGAGTAAATATTTGAAGTGGTCTCTAAATATTTTAGGTTTGTTAATCTTAATCTAAAATTTTTCTTGGTGTTCAATTCATTTCTTGACCTCTAGGGTATTTTGGACTTCTTAGCAATCTCAATCTTTAATATCAACTCAAACTAGTGAGAGTGATACTGAAAATTCAAATACTCTCTCATGAGTAAATCATAAACTTGACAATAAGATTCAATTTATTAGATTTGATGATTTGAGAACTAAATTAAAACCCTAAACTTTAAAAATAAAAATAAAACACCTAGAAATTCTAGTGCTCATTTTGATCATTTACTACCGATTTTATTATTTTAATGAATTTTTTTTGCAGTCCATGAACCTTATGACTTCTCTTTTAGGTTCCTTCGATGCGGCAATTGCACCTTCATGTTATCAGCCAGGATTTCGACTCGACTCATCTCAAAAAGAAGAAACATTGGAATTCATTCAATACTCCTTTCTTCCGAGATTCCATTGATGTGCATGAAGAGATCAATATTAATGGATTGGCAACCCTAAAAGATGAAAAAATACTGTCCTCAGAACTGCGTTGTCATCGCTGTAAGAGTGCTCATCCAAATATTCCAAGGCTTCGATCTCACATCGCCGCTTGCAAAACTCCTTTTGCTTCTCATCTTCAAAATGGCCGACTGGTTTTTGCAGCATCAGGATCTCCTGAACCTGCAAGTGACATATAATCCTGTTGAAATAAGTATTTTCTTAGGAAGACTTACATACATACCACTTAATGCCTATGTATTTACATATCTAAAACCAAAACTTTCAAGTTTTACATATATGCCGTCTTACCTATGCATGAAAAAGTGTCTTTGGTATTTTTGATGTGGGATATATATATGTAAAAGGAAGAGTTTAGGTGTTAGATATGCAAATACATACCCTTTTTTATGGATTTATTTTCGAGTTTTGGGCTTACAACTGCTTTCTTTAAGCATTTATATGTATAATTAACAGAATGCTTATAAAATATTATGTTGATTGCAATTTTTTTTTTTTTCTCATTTGAAAATGTTGGCATTAGGTATTTTTCTTTTAGTTATCACATTTATGTGGTTATCAGAAGTCAGGACAATTTACATACATATACACCACATAAATCCAATGTATTTGCATGTCTAACATCTATATTTTAATTTTAACATTTCTATATGCCACCTTACATCTATAAAAAGTCATATTTCCATTTTTAAAAGTTAAATAATGGTATTTTTGATGTGATGTGAAAGATTTGAGTGCTATAAAGTAAAAAAAAAAGGGTAAAGTTTAGGGGTTAGATATGTAAATACATAGGAATTGGGTAACATGTTTGTAAGTGCCCCTAAAAGTTAATCTCCAGATGTGTTTGAATTATGTTCAAATCATAATCAAATAATCTTTAAATCATGATCGAATGATGATCGAATCATCTCTGAACAATCTCCAGATATGAGCAGATCATCTTTAAACAATCTCAAACATAATCCCTAATCTTTTAAAAAGATTTTGAATAATATTCAAATTTGATATGATCATAATCCAATCATGATTGAAAGATAGTTGGAAGAAGATTTAAAGATGGTTCGATAATATTTGAAGGTGAATCAAGTATTATTTAATGATACTTTGATAATGGTTCAATTATTATTCCAATAAGATTTGAACATTATTTGAAGATATTATATTTTAGTTTTAATGTGGCCCAACTTATCTCTAGGCTGGGTTTTGGATAACATACACATGATAATGCATTGAATAAGTTGAGTAGGAGTGGCTACTTGATAACCAATTGGATGGAGATAAAACATAAATTTTAAAGCTAAGAAAAGCATTGTTGTAGTGTATTAAGAGCCATAATGCAAGCTTATTTATGATCAATTTTACTTTTATATTTTTATTTTTTTTTCTTTTATTTTTAAAATCATGTTTGTTTAGTGTATTTTTATATATTTTTAATATTTATTTTTATTTTTAAAAATAAATGTATTTTCATAAAATGTCAAATATATTTTATATTTCAAATTAAAACATCAATAAAATAAAATAAAAATAAAAGTGTTCTCAAACAATTCCTTAATTTATAATTTTTGTAGATGGCATTTTTTTCAACTATTATAAACAAAATGCAATTTTTATTAAGAAACTTTATTTGGCTAAAGATCCTAAAGCTTTATAATAGGTAAAAATAGATATGCTTTACATGAGATCATTTATCTACATAAAAATTTTGCAATCCATTGCTCTATAATTGGATATGCAATTTTACTATGAAATTGGGTTTATGAAGGCAGCACTCTAGAACTAGGGAGAAGATGTATTGAGTTCCTTAAGAGAGCTATCTCCAAAAATGTTATGATGAAAGAACCACAAGGTGCTCATGGACAACTATTTCTTGTCAATATTGATCAATGACATAGTGTGGATCATTATTTCAAATTAAATATTTTTTTTATTTATAAGATAAATTATTGTTATAAATTAACTCCCAATCTATTTCTTACATGCTATTATTTAGCTTGTGTTTGTGCATAGTGCTAATGAGATGGATTTATAAGTATGTTGCATATATACGCGTTGTTTATTTTACTTCTAGTTAAAAAGAGAAAATTGGTAGCTTAGTATGATTTTAATATCTAAATAATGGGACTCCGTTCGAGCAAACTTCGAAACTTGCTCGAGCAAGGGTCCAACCTTATTTGAACAAAATCAAACAATATTCAAACGTGATTCAAATTGCGCTAAAAAATCATTCTAACAATGTTAGGCTATATGTGGTTCGAGATAGACTTTAAATAAGTATTCCAAGATTAAAAAAAAAAGGTTTTTTTAATCCAAAATAGGAACATATTTCTTTATAAAAAAGAAATAATTGACAAATTAATTCATTTATGAAAAAATTGTGAAATATATAAAAATCAAATATTTCCCTTGTGAAAAAAGAAATTGAAATTGAGATGCCCAACTTGCATCATAGAATAAAATTCATTTAAAATATTACAATTTTGCCCCAAATTGATTTGACATGTTTTAAATTTCTTTATTAAAAGTCTTTCATGTTGGTGATGGGGAGAGAATACATATCCAATCTCATCCAATCCTCAACTGCATTATCTATTTAGAAGGCCATCAGCATTAATAAATAAATAAATAAGTAAAAAACATTTTATTTAGGTGAGCCGAATAGCCAAGTAGTATTTTTGGCATAAAAAATATTTTAGTTAAATTCCTATCCAAAAATATATTTAAATTAAACGGACATTTTACATACATACCACTCAATTTTTTGGAATTTACATATCTTAACATCTAGTTTTTATTTTTTATATTTATATCACTCAAATCTTTCAGACATAAAAAATATCATCATTTTAACTTTTAAAAATGAAATATATATTACATGCAGAGATATGGCGGTATGTACATAAAATTGAAATTTAGTTGTTAGATATGTAATATGCAGAAATTGAGTGGAAAGTATGTAAATCTTCCTAAGATGGCATCAGGGACTCTTAATCAATTAATTTGACATCAATTGCTGCCTATCAGATGTTACGATGACATCTATCCAATCGAAAAAATATTACATCAGGACTCCGCCCGTAGAATTACGTGCGGGTTCAATAAAATCACGTCACACTTGAATGTGAGAAAAAAAATCGGTCCGGTAACACAGAAAAATATTTCTCCCGTGTTATTCAAGTGTTATTGTGTGTTATTCAAGTATTATTAATATGTTATTGTGTTATTATAACATCAAGAATATTCTCATAACAAAATAACACATTAATAACATACAATCACACCTGAATACACGGGGGAATATTCCCCTGTGTTACCTGACCAATTTTTTTTTTCTCGCATTCACGTGTGGCGTGATTTTATTGGACTTTGCATGTAACTCTACATGTGGAGTCCTGATATAATATTTTTTCCTATCCAACCAGCTTGCAGCCACTCAACATCTTTCGGCTTCTTATTAAATATTTTAATAATATTTATTTTGTTCGTTATATATAACAATTTTGTATATTTTTTAAAGTAAATATTTTCAATTCTTAAATTTATCAATAAATCAAATTCATATAATTTTGAATTATAATTTTATGAATAAAGTTTTTATGGATATGATTGTGACAATAAAGTTTTTATGAATAAATATTGAAATTTAAGTATGTGATATATATAAATTCATAAGAATTATGTGATCTAAATAAAAAAATTCTTTGAATAGAATTGAAATATAACGTATCAAAGTATATGCATACTTTAGTTTTTCTTTTCATAAACTTTAATTATCCATTTATTATTGTTAGGTATTCCAAGAGACCTTGATTTTATTTTGAATTCTTTTCATGAATTTCGTAAGTGCTATTATTTATTTATTTGTTTATGTGTTTACTCATTCTACAATATATGAGTGTCTTTTTTTTCTTAATTAGTTTGATATTTCAATTACCTAAGTCTATTATCCTATATCATATATTTACGTATCACACAATTATGTTTGTAAACGTGGCTTGTGTTTGGCTCGTTCGAAATTATTCGTGTTCAAAATCGGCTCGTGTTCGAAATCGGCTCGTGAACAGTGTGCTCGTGTTCGACTCGATTTAAATATTCACGTGTTCGGCTCGAAATTGATTCATTAAAATTAAACTGAAAAAATAAATGTAAAGTGCTGGATTCGAAAATGGACCAAATGAATACAAAAAAGGACGCATAACCACATTACCAAACGAGCAGTTACATTTTAAACTTAGAAATAAAACTATATAAAATATTATTATGTAGATATAATATGTAATATATTATTATATACATAATTATATAATTTTTTTTATTTCGAGCTAAAACGAGCCGAACATCAGCGAACAAAAAACTGTTCGTGTTCATATATATTTTATTCAAACTAAAACGAGCCGAACATGAGCGAACAAAGAGTTGTTCGTGTTCGGCTCATTTATAATTCGAGCTTTAAAAACTTGTTCATATTCGGCTTGTTTACTAAACGAACGAGCAGAACACGAGCTACTTACCGAGGCGAACACGAGATGTTCGCGAACAACGAGTTTTTTTGACAGCCATACACACAATGATTTTAAAAGGGTTCAATATGTAAATACATAAGAATAGGGTGGTATGTTTGTAAATCTTCCTTTTTAAAACATTTTATGGCTCGTTTATTGATGATCGACGAATTTTAGCTGGATCACTAGAATAGCTGCCGGGTTTGTTAATTTTGGTGGCTTTAGCTCAACTAATTGAGCTAAAAACATGCTGAGAAGATTCTTTTATATTTTATAGTAAAATATTTTAGAAAATATAAGTTAGAAAAAAGAGGGAATGACAAATTTATGTTTAAATATTGAAAAGTTTAAACCGCAACTCCGGTTGTGGAACTGCTTGTTCTGCCTTCTATAAATTTTTGTGATGGGAAGTTATTTTTATCAAACTAAAATGCAGTGGTTCTTATCGTAGCTTTCTAAGATATTATTTTATAACCACAAATCTAAGCCTATTAATGTCATATGACATCATCCAACTAGTTGGTGACTCCATACTGATTTTGAGCCAAAAAAAATAGCACATGATTCACAAATTTGAGCCAATTAATGTCAAAATTTTCCTAATGTTTTTAACTTGGTGCCACTATAATAAAAAACACAAAGTGATTATGTACTTATGTACTTTTTATTTTGTGCCTTTTTTTTTTTTTTATAAAACCTAATTCTCTACCCTAAACATATAAATAAGCATTCATAGTTGAGGCCTGACACAAATCACAGGCACTCGATGCTAAACATCAATAAATGATCTAATAAATGACACAAAAATAATGGCTTTTAGTGAGAAGTTCCACGGATGACAAAAATTTACTCGGCAAGAGAATCAAACCCAATTTTAATTTTAAAAAGTCTATTTTTGAGATGACTCAATTAACTTTCAAGTTTAGTTTGAGTCTAAAACAGTGATTCATTTAATTTATTAAATTTGATTTGGGTTGATTTGCCGAACAAAAATTATCTTGCCCACAAATTGAGCCTCCAACCTAAAGTTAACCAAAACAGGTGGTGTTATGCCTTATGTGTTAAATAAGGTTGTACAAAGTCAGGTGCAGGTCATACATTGAGTTGAAAATGAGTTGATTTGGGTTAACTTTTTTGACCTATTTAATAAACATGTCGGGTTCAAGTCATTCATATTTGGGCAAGGTCAAGTTTGGGCTTGTCTCAAACTTGAACCTTTGACCCAAATTGCACTCTTAAAAGAGTTCACTCCTTTGCAATAACTGAAGAAGTAGAGGTGGCAAATGACAAATGTACTCTTCGTGAGAAATTGTTAAAACAAAGCTTCTAATGAAATTCAAAATCCCCGCCTCGATGTTTACAAAGGAATGATTGACCTCGCTAGTTATGTGGTGTACTTTGACTCAGATATGTCTCTTTAGGTATGAACTTTTGATAATATTAGAGAAAAGATTGAAGTCTTTAAAATATATTAAGATTGGAGAGTGATCAAACCTTGCACGAGATAATGCAAGTACTCGTATTATGTAAGTAATACAGATGAATGAGTCAAAGATCATTCACACGATGAACAAAGGTAAAGTCTAACCTGAAGTGAAGCACTAACTCCACAACCTTATTTTCTACTCAAATCAAAGATCCTTTTAAAAGGTCGTTTTTAAATTTCTTCATTTTTATATCATTTCAAAAAATACTAAATCTCCTATGAATTGATACTTCGTAAAATAAAATAAATATGATATGGTCTAAATATTATTAATCAACAATCAGGAACGTATATTATTTAAAGCATTTGTCGAAAGTATGAAAGCTCTAGTTTTCAATCATAAGCTATGTCCATGTACTCAACAATTTAAAAGTTAAGTTTTTTTCATTTCTCAAAATTATTACTAAGGTTTAGAGGAAATATGGTATCCCTTTAAACCCTAGTCATACTTTTCCCCGTTTGTTGATATCACTAATTTACTCTTGATTTTAAATATTAGTGTGACCATAACTTAATGCTAAATAATAATTGATTTAAAAAGAAAAAAAGCTATCATTTAGCATGCATTAAAGCCTTAAACATAGTGTTATAGTTGCAAGTATCAATTCATAAGAGAATGAAAATCTAGCATTGCATGATCTAACATGAACATGAGAAAATATTTCATATTAACCATAAAAATTAATGTTTATATGAAGAAAAATAGTGAAATTAAAAAGATTTAAAAATTCAAAATTCTCAAAAATGAATCTCTTGTAGTACCATTGTCTGAGTTTTTCTTTTGCTCCCTCTTTGCGTCTTTTTTGCTTAAGTGGGCTAGGATTCTCTGAATTCTCTTTATAATAACTCACAAACTCAACTTATACACACTATAAACTCACTAATCAATATCAATACTCTTTAAGCTCCTCTAGACACACTCTAACACTCCGCTTAAGTAAATCATACACTTCCAATTACTCTCCCCCTATAGAATTTGAAATTAAGGAGCTTCTAAGTGCTAAGTGTGCAGTGCCTGATTTTGGTGCTTGGGCATTGGATAGATGGCGCTTAGGGTTTGAAATTTCAAGTATCTTCATGTATTTTAATCCAAGCATGACGTTGAGATACTAGACACACTGCTAAGGTGCATCAAAAAATGCCACCAAACTTTTTGTATTTATTTTAAAGGGGCTTTTTTGCACAAAAAAAATACATAAAGATATGACAAAATATGAAAAAAAAAGCAAGAAATGATGTTGATTTGTATGTCTTTTGTCACTCAATAGAGAGATGACCACAATTTCAACAAATCCATCACTAAATAATACAACTATCATAAGGGATACTATAAAATGAATACCGACCAAATAATGAATGGATAAAAATTTAACATCTATCGTTTCCAATACCTAGTAGCTACCCTTCTAATGCTTTCAATGGCTAAACTTATGGAAACCATAAAAGAAAAAGATTAGTTCAAACATTCATTGCCTATAGGAGTGGGGACCCATCTTGTGAGCTTACAAAATTGTTGCAACTTTCATAAAAATCATGACCATGACAAAAAGGATTATCGACATCTTAAGAATTTGAGAGTTGAAATTTTTATTGTTCATACAAGAATTTATAATAGCTAACCTTGAAAGGAGACACGAAAAGTCTCTCACAATAGAGTATTTGAATGAGAGTATTTCAGCCAAATATATACACATAACAGGAGTATTGAAGAATATCCTAAGAGGAGTAGGAACAATGGCTAATTGGTAAGTCAATTTCAAACCATTTCAATTTTGAGTGGCAAAATTGAGAGATTTTGAAATCACACCCATTAATTTTATTTAAACAATCAAGCAAACAAATGAGAATCCCTATAACTATATTATAGTATCACAATGTTGATTTGACTTATCAAATTAGGAGTATCATAATTAATGCAGGCAGCTCAAATACATTTTATTTAAACAAACATTTAATAATATTGGACCAACATAGATATTTAAATGCTTCATACTTGACACTAATTATTGGACCATAGCTCAAAATTTTCAAAGGCAATTGGGGACAGAGGACAAAATCAATTGTCCATCACTTAGGAGAAAGAGAACCATAATTCATAGTTATGGTTGACTTTTTTTATATAATCAATGCCAAATAATTTGTGATGTCATATTTGACTGACAATTTTTGAATACTTTCAAAGTAGTGATTTTGGCCTACCACTTCACCACGAAACTGTTAGTGCATGGAGTAAGAATCACAATAAAAAAAACACATAATCAAGTTCTTATTATTTAAAGGTGATCTAAAATATACAAGAAGAGGTGATGCTATCATTAGTCAATAAAGAAGTGGGGTTATAGACAATTATGAAAGCCATATAAGAAATCCCACTCTATATCACTTCTTCAAATATCAATTGAATAACATTTTTTGAGATGACAATAAAGTACTTGCTACTTGTTAGGCCAACAACAGAGATGCCATGCATAAATGTCAATGCTTTCTATATCATCATCCTAAGTCAAGATGAATGTTAGGTTCATCAAACCAAAAATTTAAAGGCCTATCATCATGATAGTTAAAGCACTTAAGTGTAAAATTTAAAAGCATTTTAAATCGAAAGTTCATCAAAGAAGTTTAATATTTGAATTGAATTCAAAATATGGTGGTGTAATAGAAGTTAAGAAACAAATATATGATGCGTGTGAGATCCACCCACTTGAACTCAAATTTCCCCAATGATAGCTATTCCTTGTTCAAAATTAATGCACTAGTCAGCTTGACAAAGTAATTTTTAGTTATGAGCTTTTTTGACTTTTTTTTTTGAAATCATTAAATAAAAATGCACCCAATTAATTGAGAGAAGACTAATTTATCATTAAGAATAAATTGTACAATCATGAGGTGCAATTTTGGATGAAAAAAATACAGGGATATCTTATTAAAGATTGATCAATCATGCGTTTAAGCATCCAAAGATGAAGAACATTAAAATTTCTTATTGGTGAAAAGAAAAAAACTCTTGAACAACACATTAAAGACTTCAAGGAAACATTCTCTATCTTCCTTTTAGTACACCAAAATCCATATTTGGAGCCATAAAAAAGTTAAATTTTTTTTTACTTGTCCCATAAAGAATTAAAATGACTCTAGATAAAATTAGAGTTATTTTAGAGATAATATAAGCAAAAATATTTTGACAATTACAACAACTAAATATATCACATACATAATAAATTATTTTATCTCACAGTTTGAAAATATGTGCTCATCTTTTTTTCTTTAAATTTAAGAAAGTGAAATATATTTCATCTTGAATGATGAAACCATTAAACCATATGACAACTAAGGGTCTGTTTGAGGTATCTACAACTTATTAAGAAATAGTTGTGGAGCTGTTAAAGAATAATCTGGTGTTGCAAAAAACTACGGTGACTATTATAAATATATATATACATATATTTTAAGTTTGATTGTAACTAGAAAACTGACTCATGACCTAATCAGAAATAGTGAGAAAATGTTGATTTTAAGGACAATTTTTTGAAAAAGCTGCAAAATAAAAGCTACTAAAATATAATTCATCCAAACACTCTAATGATAGTGTAGTAAGGCCACCACACTGCCAACCCCAGACAAACTAAAATTGCTCCTAGAATTTGTGGCAGTTATTGTGGGAGTGGTCGATTGCCTACACTTAGAAATAGTTACATTACACGTCCTTTTCAGTTGCTGTTTGATGTTGGTCATTTCTGCAGGTAGCTTTCTTGTTCCCACGCAATCTCTCGCCATCGTGGCGCCGCAGCCCTTATCTATAGTCCAACTTCGCCCTCTAGGCCTGCCCTCTAGGCCTCTCCCATCCTCTTGCCCTCTCTGATCCCTCCCAATTACCACCACGCAATCTTAGTGATTGTCAGCGATGGGAGGCGGTTCGTCCAAAAACCCCCAAGCTTTCAGCGGCAATTTGGACGGCGACATCGGCGGCCAGCTTTATGTCTCCCTCAAGATTGAAAATTTGAATATTAGAGACGACCTCATCCCCCACGTATTCGGTTCCATCCCCATCATTGGCTCCTGGGATTCCTCACGATCCGTGCGACTCATTCACTCCCGGTACCCTTTCCTTTTCATTCCGCAATCCCATTTCGCTAACTCTGTTTTCACCTATGCTTCTTCTCAGTTGTCCATGGTACGGGAATCGGAGTTTACGTGGGAGTTGAGCTTCGTTGTGCCCCCAAACCATGGTACTTTAATTTTATTGTTGATTTTGTGGGCGATTTTGGTTGGCTCTGGTTTTAACGAGTTAGGTTTGTCTGGAAGGAACGATAGTCTTCAAGTTCTTGCTGAAGTCTAAGGGGATGGACAGTCTGTGCGTGGAGGAGGAAGGGGAAGATAGGTCGCTTACTGGTGGGAGGTTGGACGATGGTGCTAGGGCTGCGGTGTTCAGGCTTCCTGGATGTGGTGATGACGAGCTGCTAGAGCATAGGGTGTTTTTGATGGCTAACACTATCTCACCCTTTGATCTGGCTGCGAGGTGGAGGGCTTACGAGGAGAATCTCAGGCCTTCCACTGTACGGGGGGTTCCAGATATCTGCATCAATGCGGCGTCTGAAATAGGACAAGAGGTGAGATCTGAGCCTGTAACTTGCAAACTTGTTTGTTTATATTTATTTTTAGGTTGAATTAAACATATAACTAACACCCTTTTCAAAGTTTTTTGAAACATCAATTATGTGTATTTGCATGTGTTACAATCAAACATTTACAAATTTGATAAATGTCTATAATTGCCAATTCTGGGGTTTTGTTGTGAATTTTGATATTTGGGTGAGAATTTGAAAATGGATGTAATAGAGAGTTAGATTTTGTAAATAATTAACTTTTAGGAGTTATGTATGTAATTCCCAATTCTAGGCCTTTTTATCTTGTTGAGAAATTAGGGCGAAGAAAAACAAGAATCGACACAAATCTAGAACAAATCTAGAAGAACACAAATCTAGAAGAACACAAAGATTTAACGAGGTTCAACAAAGATGCCTACGTCCTCTGGAGCAGAGCGACGGTTTTTCACTAATTCAGAAAAAATACAGAATTCAGAGATAATTTCTAGGGTTACATACAAGCCTAATTATAACCCTAGAAAACACATTAAAAAAAAAACATTGGGTACAATATGTAATTATCAAATTACCCCTGTACCACACCCCCAACCCACATAAGGAAACTCTGATTTGGACAGAATCTTTCGCTCTGTTCCGCTCCAGATTTAGCACTGTCTATTTATGTTATATGAGCCATATCTAACAAATCTCCACCTTGGCGAATATTCAGCCCTTTGGGAGAAATACGTCATGAAGTTCCTTTTATACCAGAAGTGGGTTGGGCTACCATGTTTCTCTAGCAACTGCAGACATTCAACAAGCTCAAGCAAAGCAAGAACTTGTTGATGGTAACTGGCTTGGTCAACATATCAGCTGCATTCTCATCAGTATGAACATTCTGCAACAGTATCTCACCAGAAGCAATCAACTCTCTGATCTTGTAATACCTGACATCAATGTGCTTGGTTCTCGCATGATACACTTGGTTCTTAGCAAGATAAATAACACTCTGACTGTCACAATGCAACTGAAGTCCACCTTGCTCAACGCTCAATTCCTTTACTAGTCCAACAAACCATAAGACTTCTTTAGCAGCTCAAGCTACTGCCATGTACTCAGCTTCAGTTGTAGATAATGCCACAATAGACCGAATTGTTTATTTTCAACATATAGGCCCTCCACCAAGAGCAAACACATACCCAGTTGTAGACCTTCTGTCATCCAAATCACCTGCATAGTCTGAATCAACATACCCCACAACTAAAAGATCATTCTGCTGACTGTCAAAAATAATTCCATGTCCTACAGTACCCTTCAGATCCTTGAAAATCCACTTGATTGCTTCCCAATGTCGCCTTCCAGATTTAGCCATGTATTTGCAGACTTGACTAATAACATGAGCCAAATCAGGACGAGTACATACCATTGCATACATCAAACAACCAACTGCACTGACATATGGAACCTTTGCCATGTCTTCGATTTCTGTATCTGTCTTAGTACATTGTTCCAAAGAAAACTTAAAATGATTTGCCAAAGGAGTGCACACAGGCTTTGCTTTGCTCATCTCAAACCTTTCCAACACTTTCTCAACATATCCTCGTTGAGATAAACATAATCATTTTGAGCCTCTGTCTCGATGAATCTCCATTCCAAGAATCTTCTTCGTAGGACCAAAGTCTTTTATGCCAAATTCCTGACTCAATAAAACTTTCAAACCACAGACATCATTCATATTCTTTACAACAATCAGTACATCATCAACATATAGTAACAGAAAAATAATAGTACCATCATCAAAGCTCTTCACATAAATACAACAATCATACTCCATCTCTTGTAGCCAATCTGAATAATGTAGGAGTCGAACCGTTTGTACCATTGTTTTGGAGACTATTTCAACTCATGCAGTGATTTCCTTAACCTGCAAACTAGATGCTCCTGTCCAGGTTGAGTGAACCCTTCTGGCTGCTCCATGTAAATCTGCTCCTCCAAATCACCATGCAAGAAAATAATTTTAACATCCATCTGCTCCAAATGCAAATTTCAAATAGCTAGTAATGCAAACACTGCCCTGATTGAAGTATGTCTGACTACAGGAGAAAAAATTTCATCATAATCTATCCCCTTCTGCTGTAAAAATTCCTTTGCTACCAGTCGAGCCTTGAACTTTTTCCTTTTTTTTTCTGATACTGCTGGTTTTCTTTTGTAGACCCATTTGCAACCGATACCCTTCTTTCCCTCTGGAAGCTAAATTAGCTCCCAAGTGCGGTTTTTCTGCAAAGACTCTATCTCCTCAACCATTGCACCCATCCATTTTTTTTTCTCCTGGCTGGTGATAACTCCTTGAAAAGTGGTTGGATCATTGCTGCTGATGAGAAGTGCACAAGAGATCAAGTCTTCATAACCCAATCTGCTAGGAGGCCTTACATTAGTGCGTCTCTGTCTATCTCTGACTAGATTATAATTTTGCAGATCATCTGGAATATAATCACTAGGTGTTGGATTTGAACTTTCACCTCTCTCAGAAGCTACTGGTTGCTGTTCTAAATCCATCTGCACTGCATTTGAATTGAAACTCTTCTCTGACACCTTGTCTTGATTCTGCTGTAACATAAACTGTTCATCAAAAACTGCATCTCTGCTGATCACCATCTTTTTTACAATCAGATCCCAAAACTTGTATCCTTTCACACCTTTTTTGTAGCCCAAAAAGATACACTTCTTGGATTTTGCATCAAGTTTTGATCTTTCATCTCCAAGTACATGCACATAAGCAAGACAACCAAAGATCTGCAAATGATCAAAATTAACTGGATTACCTGTCCATACCTCTTTTGCGACCTTGTCACCCAATGATGCTTGAGGTGATCTATTGATGAGATAACATGCCATATTCACAGCTTCTGCCCAGAAACTCTTAGGAAACCCTGCATTCAGTCTCAAGCACATTGCCCTTTCAGTTAATAACCTATTCATCCTTTCTGCTACACCATTCTACTGTGGTGTCTTCGCACTGAAAAATATCTCTAAATCCCATGATCCTCACAGAACTTCTGAAACTGTGAATTTGTGTACTTTGTGCCATTATCGGACCTCAAATACTTGATCTTGTTGCCAGTTTGGTTCTCCACCTCAGCTTTCTACAACTTTAATTTAGATAAGATTTCAGATTTCTGCTTAAAGAAATACACCCAAATTTTTCTGAAGAAATCATCAATAAAGACAACAAAATACTGAGATCCTCTCAATGACGATTATCTCGTAGGACCCCATACATCAGAATGCACATAATCAAGAATCCCTTCAGTTTTATGTTTTCTAGTCATAAAACTGCTCTAGTCTGTTTTCCAAGAATACAAAACTTACAAAGATCGAGTTTGCAACTTTTAACACCATGCAACAAATTTCTTCAATGCAATTCCGCCATCCCACGTTCACTGAGATGACCCAGACGCTATACCATAGCTTTGTACTATCGTTATCTGACTCTACATAATGAACTCCACCTACAACTGTATTCCCCAACAGTTTGTAGATATTGCCTGCAGTTAATTTTCCTTTCATCACCGTCAGCCCACCCTTAGAAATTCTGATGGTTTCCCTATTCTCATCAGCCTTAGGAATAAAATCATTTATGTGTAGAGTGCCCATGAAAATCAAGTTCTTCTTCAAATCTGAAATGTGTCTGACATCACATAACGTTCTAATTGTACCATCATACATTTTAATATTGACTTCTCCAATATCAATAATATTGCAATATCTATCATCTCCCAAATACACTAAGCTAGAATTAGTTAACCTGTATGAAATAAATCATTCCCTATTAGGTGTTATGTGATAAGAACACCCTGAATCAATAATCCATGCATCTGTGATCTGAGTTGATGAAGTGATAAGAACACCCTAAGAACACCCTGAATCAATAATCCATGCATCTGTGATCTGAGTTGATGAAACTGAGAGCATATCGCTATCACTGTAATCTGAATTATTATTCTGCACCACATTTATAAACTTTGATGAAATATCATCTTTCTCCCCAGTCTTCTTTGAATAATCTCTCTTCATATGACCTTACTTCTTGCAACTGTAGCAATGAATTGTCTTTTTGCTTTTAGACTTGGATCTGAAATTTCGCCTTCCAGAACGCTCATTCTCTTTCTTCCTTCCACGATCTTGCTTATCCTTAACATATAAAATGTCACTGTGAGATCTTTCCCCTGCATTCTGCTTCCGCTGGTTGTGAGCCAATGGTTGTGTGCTTCCGCTGGTTGTGAGCCAACAATGCTGTAGTAATCTCATCAACTTTGATAGTTTCTTTCCCATATGTCAGAGTAGTTACCAGATGTTCATAAGAAGAGGGCAACGAACAGAACAAAATCATCGCTTGATGTGAGGCTCGATCTTCATCCTCAATACTCACATCAAACCGTGATAAATTCGTCAAACACATCAAACCGTGATAAATTCGTGATTATTTGATTGAAGCCATTCACGTGCTGCGTCAGATCATAATCTTCTTGTATCTTCAACCCATACAACTTTTGTTTCATATACAACTTGTTTGTTAGAGATTTAACCATAAACTGAGTATCTAATTTCTTTCATATCTCCTCTGGAGATTTTAAATTCATCACGTGATACATAAATTCATCTGTCAGACATAGGCGTCTAGTTGCTGCCGCTCGGTATTGCAATTCTTTCCAATCTTCATTCTCCATGATATTCGGTTTTGCTGTCCACAAAGCTTTCAATATTTCCTGTTGAGCCAACAGACCTTTTACTTTTGTTTGCCACAATCCGAAGTTACCAGTTACATCGAACTTCACTACATCGAATTTTACACCAGAAAAAACTATTTGAAAATAACTCCTGCAACAAATTATTCTGCAAAAATTCTTCTGCAAATCCTTGCTCAGAAGCTTTTCAAAAAGAAAAAGAAGGATTGAAAAAGCCTCTTAATTAAGTTTTTCAAAAAAATGAAAAGTTTTTTTTTTAAAGAAAAAAAAATTGAAATA